CCCACCTTGGAACAATTGTCACTTGTGCCAAGCATATACAGATAACCATGGCCAGGGCACAGCCCATATGGGAGGTAAACATTGTGTCACGCACACGAGAATACTGGAAAATTAGAAAAAAATTTATACTGAATATTGACTGAAGATATATACAGCACTCACATGTACCTGCATCTATGTGTCTGTTTTATTATCTCTCTTTCTCTCTCCAACCTGCATGCACATGAGAGAGAGAGAGAGAGAGAGAGAGAGAGAGAGAGAGAGAGAGAGAGAGAGAGAGAGAGGAAGAAGAAGAAAATACCCTCTAATACGTTTACATGTTAGAAAAGAATTTTATAAGCTGATTAAATGAACATCACATGCCCTACACATACATACAGAGTGGTAGGAATGAAACTGAGAATACCATAAGAATATTATACTATAGATTTATAATTTTTACAACTGTATTAATTTTTCTAGATCTCGAATATTAACCCCACATAGTGTTTATGTCTGTTTGTTGATTTGCAGAATAAAATCACAATTCAGTTTGAGTGCCTTTGTTCAAATTCGATTGCTTTATTATCACCCCAAAAGCTGAATCTTTTAATGCACAAGCATGTAATTTTAAAATAAAAAGTTACACTAATATGTTATAAATAAGTCATAAAAATACAGTTATGATATCTATCTATCTTTGGCCATTCATTCTACTGCAGTTAGTGGGCACACCTTTTCCTCCAGTTCAGGTTTACGGAATGTAAGAAGAATACGTTTCACATGCTCTGATCGCAAGCGGTCAATACTCCGAGCATCAATAGCACGACTCAGGTATTCATTGACCTCTTCTTCAGGGCTCTTGCTGCTCTTCTGCTCACCAAACCCAAGCCTAAATGGTAGGGAGATTATCATTGGTAAGTATAAAAGTAAAAAGCCATGCCCAATGGTAGAGGGAATGTTATTGGTTAGTGTGGAAGCTGAATGCCACGAATAAAATAGTATGGGCACAGAAACATTTCTGTGAAACAGTACAATTCAATGGTTAATATGAGTTGGTTTGAAAACCTTGGACTAATTAAAAAGTTCATAGGGGCAAAGCATTTAATATGAGGGTCAAAAATATATTCTAAAAGGTATAAGCAAAACATTCTTCATAAATATAAAATATTATGGCTTTTGTGGTGGTTTATGCACTTACTTGTTATGGATATTTGTTTGCGAGTCATATGCTCCAAGACGCCTCATTTCCTTACTCAGTCCATTATCAACAGACTTCTTATCATTTAACTTTCCAGGACTGGGACTTTTCGTCTTAAATGAGAAAAAAAATACAAGTACAAAGATATCACACATTTAATTATAACAAGAAATATTTCAACTGGGCTGCGATATTTCAACAACACTTCATAACTAAAGAAATAGATAATTTTTGCAATTTCAATGAAGTCAGTAAAACTAGAGAGTATTTTCACCAGTGGGTTTCTCTCTCTTACTAGTAACAACATGTAGATAGAAGTAATTTCTTCTCACAATGGCAAAAATACTATGTATGTGTTTGGGTCGCATTAGGAATTATAAGTCTTCAGTATCAGCCAACTAGAAGCTGAACAAACGACCTTACTGCACTCTACAATCCAAGATCACCAAACAATTCACCTCAAATAAACTATATAGACACTGACAATGACTTACAGTTAAAAATAGAAAGCAGTTTCCTTTTACCTGGAAATTCCTGTCCATGGGTTCTATCACTAAGTATGTGTTAATTTTCTGTTCCTTAATATACGCATTTCTTTCATCCCCTTGCCCCGACTCCACCTCGTAGTCGTCATTAAGGTACAGCAGTGTCACTTCCGTCACATGCACACGTCTGATGAAAAAATGATATCAACCAAGTTACATTACTGCACTTTATGTGATTTCTCACGTAGTATATATGTAAAGCTGGGTGATTTTAAAAATATCCAAGGATTTCCTCAATAGCTTTAAATCTTAGGAATAGCTTTATAAAAATTTGGACTAGGGTATGGACTTCAGTTCATAAATTGTTTTCACAGCATATAATAAATAGCAGAAATGAAGAATACAAAGTGTATATTTGAATACCCTCAAATAAAATGGATTCATCCCAGAAAAGCCCCCTCCCCTCATCAGCACTCCTTCCAACCCTGAATAAGAGTTAGCTTCCATTACAAGTTTTTCCAATCCTAGTTCTCAACCAAACTCACATACACATAGAATTAATTCATTCTTTAAACATTTCCATTGAAATGCAAAGTATTATGAGGGAGAAAATATCTTAAAAGTGACAAAATCATTTAGAATATTATAGCAGTATAAAAATCATATTTGTTATAGCCCACTGGTTCATACATCCAACCAGTCTATTTTTTATTAATTTCTTTGTTACCAAAGGAATGCCAATAAAAAAATTCAAACAAAGCTGAAATTAAAAACAAAACACAAATGTCCCTTGGCCCAGTATTATTTGAGAGCCACATAGGTTTATGTATCTCCACACTGACTGTAGTCATTGTATACAGACCCATACAATCATCAATCTGATGCTCCACAAATGACACCCCTATTGTGTGGAGGATTTCCAAACTCCATCAAGTTAACGAGAAATCTCAGATTACATTACGACCAACCAGATGAAAAAGGTTAAAAAGTCAATACAATGATGTAAAAGACTCGGGTCTAATGCTGGATTATGCTAAATATAACATCAATCCCTTATGCAAAGGAAGCTTCATCAGCTTGCCAGGAAAAATGATTTGATGAAGTCAGATGAATTATAAGCAAAGCACTGACATGTTCCATAAATATGATACTGAAACATTCCAAACTGATCTTTTTCTGAGGAGTTCTGATTCAATTCCCATGAAGCTAAGTGTAGATTACAATATTATTGCTATTTATTTTGTTTGAAAAAGTCTAATCTGGATCAAAACTGGTTCTACGTTCTACACTGTTTTAATAAGGACCTTTTTACGGTTTGCGATATACTGTATTGTGCTGTTTTGAGAGACTGACAACATAATAGTTTTTTT